GATACGAGGATGGCGTGGCGGCTGACTCGGATAAGTAGAAAAATAGGATTTTTTATTTATTTTTAATTACAGAACTTAGAAAATCCACAACTTAATTTAGAAAAATTATAAAAATAAAATAAAAATACTGTGTTGCTTGGTGAACAGAGGAGATTAATGTGGAATAAAAATAAAATTATTTGGTGTGTCTATCATTTTTAATTAATTAAATACTCGCTGCAATGTTTTAAATTTAATTAAGCACATAATAATCACCATAACTTGATATTTTAGTTTGTTCCTCATGACAATAGAGATGTCTTGTGATTTTTCTAAAGTTAGAAAGCATCTCTACACATGTAACCCTAATTTTCAAGTCTAGATGGTTATTTTGCTTAAAATAATTATATAAATTAAATTATAAATAAAAAAATCATGGGACTTATTTTGATAGGTTCCTTATGGTCAGAGGACTTCTGGAAATTTGTAATTTAAATTTTAGTATTTGTATAAATGACTATAGTTAATTAACCCTTAAAACTCATAAAAATTAAAAATAAATTTAGAACATTTCAAAAATTTATAAAATAATTTCCACACTGTAAATAATACTTATTTTGACTCACTGTAAAAATTTGAAATTTATTTGATTTATTTTTACCGAAAAAATGGATTTTTCAAGTAAAATTGTATTTTTGGCATTAAAATAATTTTAATAAATTAAATATAATTAAGAAAAATATGAAAAATGGTTTTTGAGTTCTTTATGATCATGGACACTTCAAAAAAATAAAAATTATTCTTAAATAAATATTTTATTTTTAAGCTTATTTTTTGAATTAAAAATAATTTAAAAATTCAAAAAATTTGAAAATACAAAAAAATGGTCCAAAATGTTCCTAATTGTTTTATGATCACTTGGGACTCATTAGAATATTTTTCTTTCCTAGTTTTCTCTAAATTAAAAATAAAATTTTAAAGGACGAAAATGTATTTTTCTTAATTTTTCCATTAAAATATCTATAATAAGTAAATTAAAAATCATAATAATACAAAATTTATTTCTCTGATTTCTCTGGACTTAGAGAGATTTAATAAAATTATAAAAAGTAATTTTTGTAATTATTAATAAATAATTATAATAATAAAAATATAATTCAAAAAATTATAAAATTTTGTCCAAGTGATCCTCTGACATAGGTGAACCTCCAATAATTTTTCCATGAACAAAAAAAAAAATTACTTTAATTAATTATATAAATTAAAATTGAAAATCATATTTTCTAAGTTAAAATAATTATTTAAACTACATTAAATTTTTAAAAATCACATTTTCTCCTCTGATATCTTAGGGGTTCTCTAAATATTTCAAAATTATTTAAATTATTTTTGATGAGTTATGAAGTGGAGAGCCTAGGGGCAAAATAGTAATTTTAGATTTTAGTGCCATAATCAAAATTTAGGATTAACTAAGGGAAAATGGGTAATTTTGATATTAATAAATATATTTGGATGATTGAAGTGCAATGGGGTTAAAAGGTAGTAACTCACTAATCACCCTTGAACAACATCAACAAAATCAGAATCCTCGTAACCTTCATGACTTGAAAGTCAATTAAGATCAAATGATTCTTAAGTGATGGGCTTAAGTCGGAAAGATGATAAATTACCTCTCTCAAGCCCAAAGTTAAGGATGATGTGATCATTCAACAATGATATATATCACTTAAATCAAAATTCTGATAATCACCATTCGACCTGTTGTGATTGTTAAAAGCTTAGTAGTGACCTAGGCTCAATGTCTAAACTCAATCAATTAGATTTAGAAGATGATATCATCGGTGATTAATATCTAGAAGCCCAAATTTAGAGGCGAGTACAAAATCTTTAATGACTTAAGCTTGCGCTAAGACATCTACTTACATAACTTTTAAGTAAAATATCAATTGATTAATTGAGTACCTCACTCTTAAGATAATTAAAATATCAAGTTCACAGAGCATAAGGTGTATTAACTCATTAAAATTAAATTTAAAACTTGGGATGATCAATGGAACAATATAATAGGTTCAAATAGACTCAAAACACTTCAAAAGGAATTTAAAAGTTGTTAGGGATTGTTCCCCAGACACTTTTATGACCTTTTAGATGTTTTGAATGATAATTGAGCTTATTATTCTTTGTCCAAAAAATCATCCATTAAAAAAACTCTTAGGGATTCACCAAGTTATGACAGGTTTTGGTAACTACACCTTCATCTACCCTTGCAATTTATTTAAATTTTTGCAAAATTATATACCTATTTCAAGTTCTAATCTTTCAGCGGGAGCAGCGAGAATACGACAGGTACGCTTTTATAGTGTTATTTAATTTCTGTCATTTTACCTTTTGTAATTTACTCTTGCTTCAAATATTATACATGCTTGGTTGTAAATCTTACTTCACCTGCAAAACAAAACAAACTTTCCAAAATCAATCAACTCTTTTTTTTCAAAAATAAACAAAATTTTTAAAACAAAAATAACAATTTCATAACACGTCATTTTGAATTTACGGGAGTCCCTCGGATGAGGTAACCCACGATTGCTAATGAGATCTCTAACGAGATCTCCTTATGTTTAAATGGATTTAACAACCGTTTAAGCTAAGTAAATTCAAAAGAAAATAGTGGTACCAGAATGAGGGAACTGTGAGATCCGAAACTGTGAGATCCTAACCGGTGTCGTTTTAATCAACTATAACTCGCCCCATAATGATTGAACTCGAATTTGTCATTTAAATATTTAAATCTTTAGACTTTAGGATTGCTACTTCATTGGGGAGCTTGAAGAACTCTGTAGGGCAGCCTTCTACAACAGCAATATACAATAATACGAGGATCTACAACAACACATCTTATCCTTAGAATTAAACAATAATCCATAGGATTTCAAGGTTTTCAGCCTAATGCGACATAAATCCTCAACCTTATCTTTAGGCATACAATAATACGAGGATCTACAACAGCACATCTTATCCTTAGAATCAAACAATAATCCATAGGATTTCAAGGTTTTCAGACTAATGCGACATAAATCCTCAACCTTATCTTTAGGCCTTTGCACAATCATGTTGTGCAATTTAAACCCTAACTCGCTTTAGGATTCCAAGCTTGTCTTTCGTCACGACCTAAATCCTCACATCTTCCAGTCTATTTGTGCAATCATTTAACATAACTGTAAGCCCTAACTAATAAAATTAGCAGGATGAAACATTAAATAATTTTCTCTTGAAATTGAAGCTCTTGAAATTGAAACCAAACATTAGGATAACTTGGAAAGTCAAATAATTTTCTCTTGAAATTGAAGCCAAACATTAGGATAACTTGGAAAGTCACCGAGGTTCTCCTCAGGATCCGTGACATCCCCTAGTTCTTCTTCCTTTAGATTCCAAAATAAATGTTTCAAATTTAAGCATTTCCAATTTCACACCTCTTTGTCTGATCTTTGAAAAGTACTATCCCTTTATGATCTTGGAGACAATATTTTCTAATTTAAATCAAGAGTTTTCTTAAGTGACTTCGGTCATTTAAGATGTAATTGCCTATAGGAGCTTGCCTATATAGAGAGCTTTAAGAACTCAGGTAATATAAACTCTGTCTAATTATTTGTATTAGATAGGCGAACGTGTCAGCTTATATAAATGGTTCACATACCAAATAAATGTCATAAATTCTGTAGTTTATTTAATCGAGCATGACCGGCAAGTAGTGTATTTATCCTTCGAGGTGGATTTTGTCAGCTTATATAAATGGTTCACATACCAAACGAATGTCATAAATTTTGTAGTTTATTTAATCGAGCATCACCGGCAAGTAGTGTATTTATCCTTCGAGGTGGATTTATTACTTGTGGTGTCATGCTCGTTTATTTAAACTATTGTCTTTATGAGATCGGTTCGGTTTCGTATTTTCAAAATTAAAATATTACCTTCTCAAAATTAAAAGATACTGGTTTTTCTAAAAAATCAAATTTATATATACTATTAAATTAAATTAAAACCACACCTAAAATTAAGAGAGATATAAGCACGCCGACAGTGTTATAAGTTATTATAACAACTTCTCATATTTAGAACTAATTTTGGCACCTTTTTGTTTTTACAACTGATTTTGGTACCTTTTTTTCGTATTCGTAGTTGTTTGAATAGGGGCATCCGATGACTCAACAACCTCATTGCTTGGTCAAATGGAGGCCTTTGGTCAATTGGAAGGTCATAAGTCTGCCACTTCAAAGAAAATTTCTTAGAAGATGGGCTTCTCTTATCAGGACAAGCTAGGCGTTTGACAGAGGGTATACCACTGTAATCCGAATGACAGTCCTCCTTGAACAAGGAGTCTTCTCAGACGGTCAGAGAGATGTTCCATGATATGCCCATGTGAGGAGCTTCAAAGAGCTAGTTAGGAACGACTGTCTCCCGAATTAAGCTTCTTTTATCTTCGTTTGGATATCCTTCCATTCAATCGCCTCAGAGTTCTGGCAAAAGGAAACAAAGCTTGATATTTTCGTTTTTTGACTATCTCAATATAGTGTCATTTGGTTTTTGTGAATGAGGGACATTGAATTTCCTCGAAATTTGCACTGAAGTATTTTTTAGGTATAATTAGGTTAAGATCCTTTTATCGTGAAAAATATTTTAAAATAAATAAACTTATTTTTTTTGGGAATATTGGGCGATTATATACATGACACCAAAAACATTAATATTTACAGATTAAGCGCTCTTTTTCATCCATTTTATAAATTCTCACTCAAATATCAAAGGTAATGATAAAATCACAAACTGTGTTTTTTTTCTTATCAAATTCATAATAATTTGATCACATTCTACATAAATGTATTAGTTTGATAGTTCAAAAAATACTTAGTGATTTCCATAAACTTGTTAAAAAATTATTCATAAAAAAAAGGAAAGTTCATTATGTAAAACGCTTCAGCTTAACTTGGCTTTAAAATTAATTACATTGCGAAAACCCTCCCCATTTTCTTCCTAACCTGCGGTCTGCGGGCCTATCTCTATCTCGACTTACAATTCCGACATATTTTCAATCCCATGATCCCGTCTTACGCCGATGCCGACAAGTCCATGGAAGAAGGCCATGGCCGCCGATGTTTTCTTTTCAGGCCTCCGTTCAAGGAGCAGCAGCTCTCTCGTTGTTCAGACAGGTTTCCCCACTTCTCTCGTTGATCTCATAGTTAAAAACCACGACCGCCTCAAGAAATCTTCCCGCGATACCAAGAAGAAATCCTCCCTCTCTTTAGAAGTGCCACGGCTTCAGGTACCCGAGTGCCCTTCAGCCGATCCTGTGATTGAAAACCCTAGGTCTGCCGACCGAAGAACGGATGCCAGGCCTGGATTTCAATTTATGGTGATCACTTTGATCCTTTTGGCGGTTTTGGTGATCTGGAAGAAGAAGCTTGTTGCAGGGATTACGATTTCTGCTTTTGCGCTGTTGATGTTAGAAATTTGTGGCCTTCGAGGTTGGAGCTTTGTGAAGCGATGTGCGGAAGCGAGGAAGAGGTTGGATTCTGTGATTGAGATTATCGATATGGGAGCAGGAGAACGGGCGTCTCCGATTTGCGAGATCGGTGCACAGCTACGAGCTGATTTGTCGGTTTCTGTTGTGAAGTGTGAAGAATCAAGGATTAAGGATCATAGCAACGAGTTATTGTCGGAAAGCCGCGATATTGGGAAGGTTTCCAGGAAGCAGAAATTGGAATCTTCGGGTGATTCTAAGGCCAAGAAACTACGGAGGAAGTTCATGCTTAGGAAATTTTGTGCAGTTGGAGAAGTTGTAAGAGTTCCTCATTGCGTTGAAGCCACAGAGGAAGAATTTTGCGGGAGAGATTTAGTAGCGAAGGACGAGTTAAAACGTGTCAGCGGTGATGAAATCTGGAGCTTCAAAACATGTCATGGTGATTTAGGTGATGGGGAGGATGCATATAGTACTCATATAAATGTGGATGAAAATAAATCGTTCAGAATTTACGAGTTTGTCTTTATTATTATCATTTTATGCGGCCTTGTGAGAGGCAAGGATGTTGCTTTATTGCTTTCAGTTGTTTGGTTCTTCCTCTGCAAATTCATCATAATTGTTAGGAGTAAAAGGAAGTTACGATAAGCTCACTTCATTGCTTTAAAATTTGAAACCACTTTGTCTTCTGCCAATCTGTACTGTGAAACTGCAAGCTTTCTATATGCAAAAAGGTGAAAGAAAAATAACTACTTTATACTGTAATTTTCGTTTAACATCTTCAAATATTTTTTAATTCATTGAATATGTTTAGTCCATCCCTCTACCATCTCTATATCTCGAAAAAAGTTTATTTGATTTGTAATTCCTATTTTATCATAATCCTAGTGCTGTTAAAAATTCCTTTGAACTAATGGGGCTTTCTTATGTATGCCAAAGCTGAATTTTTCTTTGTGTGCTTGTTTATTGCATTCAGTAATGCCATGCATTTTTATTTATTTATTGTTTTAATTTTAATCCTGTTTGTAAGTTCCGAAGTTAACTTGGTTTCTCTTGGCTTGAGTTGCACTGTACTATATCTCTATATCTCTACCCTCATATGGCAGCCATGGCTTTGTATGGATGTTTGTTGCTATAAAATATGAAGAAGTTGATTCTGTTTCCAAATATAGAGATTGTTCCTCAAACACTGTTAAACAACTAATGCTACCAATACCTATTAACAAGGAAACCCATGTATTTGATTTATAGTACAAAAAATAAGAGTATATTTCTGGCTAACTCTCTGATAATTAGTTCTCTAGCGGGATCTTTTTGAAGATTATGTGATGAAAAATAGCTCAGCTCTATATCTCTACAAAATCATCACCACTGACATTGTTGATTTAGTTTATAAGCTTCAAAAGTTGATATCTTGGAAATCTTTTCATTCATGGAGAAGTTGGGCTCAGTTTTATGTAGCTGGTAATCATTCAGGTACATAGACCTTCTAAAACTGTTTGCAATTGCAATTAAGGGTGATATTGCAAATGAAAGAAATAAAAATAATAACCTTCTAATTTGTTTCTAGTGATGCGACTGACTGGTATTTATTTTGGTAAATGTCCCTGCATATTCCGTGCTTTTTGCATTTGTAAGTCCTAAATAACATTTTATTTATCCAGATGCATTGAATTCTGTTGGAGCCTCACTTGTGTGTATCGTGTTTTTTTCAACATCTATCTTTTGGCTTCATGTATGCTCCATACTGGAGATGTGGGGGATTCTATGAAAGTAAACGTGTCGCTTATTTTATTTATTTTATTTATTTTATTTTCTTTTTCCTTTTGTTAGTGTGAAATTGCGAATAAATTTCATTTAGTGTTCATGAGAAATGAGCAAAATTTATACTTTTTCAATCAGAGTAAACCATTTTTATGACAACAATAAGATAATTGCTTTGTGCTGTAAAATAACAATTCGTACCCCGGCCAATTGGTTGGAATTCACGGTATAAGGACCCTCAGGTCGGGGGGTTCGAATCCCCTCTGGCACAATTGGCCTTAAACTGTAAAATAACAATCTGTACCCTGGCCAATTGGTTGGAATCTACGGTATAAGAACCCTCAGATCAGGGGGTTTGAATCCCCTCTGGCACAATTGGCCTTAAAGAGGTTGTACTTAAATTGTTAGACACATTAGGGGTGATTGGAGGCTAATTTTGCCCACTTGTCTTCCATTTTTATAGAAAAATGTGTCCAAAGCTTCCTGCACTAGTTTTACACAAATAAAAGTGGAGTTCTTATTATCACAAGGTTAGCAAAGTTGAAATTGTTCCACTATTCAATTTTCTCTTATGACTTATCTGCCCTTAAAAGGAAGTACATAATATTACTTGATTGAAAATTATCAACTTAACTCTGATTAAATAATAGCTAAAAATTATTTGGGTTATGATAGAGACCCGACTCCGTTAATGAAAGACCGACGGTAGGGGATGAATGGTGGAGATCTCAATTCGGTGTCAGTGTTGATGATAGTGATTAGGCAATAGCAGTCAGATGATAGTATTAGTGATAGATTCTGACCCCATTTTTAGGTCCACCATTTTCCCTCCATCCACACTCCACTGGATTTCACTTGAGCTGAATGTTGAGCTGAACTTTGAAATAGCCTCAACCCCAAAATTATCATTTTCTCTTCAGATATTATTATATGGCTCAATACTTCATGTTGAAAGTTGTATGATGTTCATTGTTATATTTAAAGGCCAAGCAAAAAAAATTAAAGTGAAATTATTTAATTCAAAATTTTCAAGCAAAAATATTGTTGGATGTAATTTGGATCATCGGATTGACCTTTGAAGTTGAATGATAATTTTAGGGTTTTGATTTCAAGAAACCATATAATTATCATTCTTCTTCGCAGTTAATCTGGTGATCCAAATTACATCTTGTAGTTGCATTATCTTCATAATCACATGTGAGGAGCATGCAAACCAATTTGGTGGTCATTGGACACCAATTTGCATAAAATTGCGCACTTAAGATTTTTGTGCATAAAAAGTGGACTCCTATAAAAATTTTCAGCAATTGTTATTTTTGAAAACATACCTCACCATTACGGCTGTCTCGTTCAAAACTTTCAAATGAGCCCTTTGGTACCCAAATTCGACTTCATTTGGGGGCTCGTTGAGTCGACGATAATTTGGAGAGAGAAATGTATAATTTAGCCATAACTACTTCGAAATGACTTCAAATCTAGTTTAAATATCAACAAAGGTTGTTTCAAAATAAAAATTTGCATTTTGTTCAATTAAAATTCATGAAAATTCCCAACTCAAAAACGTGTTTTCTTAGCTCTCATAGGGTTCGGGCCCGCTTTGACCGAAATTATCTCACCAAAAATATTGATTTAGTTAAAACTAATTACACCACTGAACTCATCATGTTCGCCTCTATCAAATAAGCCCAAGCTGAGTTTTGGTCATAACCGACCCCGACACATTTCCAACCACATGCCAAAAATACCCATCCACGTTAAATGACCATAACTTGAGATAGATACTTTCATTTTTAAAATTGTTTGAACTGTTAGATTACTTGTTTCGACCTCTTAAAAATGACATAAACTTTCTTTTTTTTTTCTATTTCTTCCATAGATGCCTTTGCCAAACTTTCCAAAAATAGCCCCTAGTGCCCTTTTGATCTCCACCCTCCATTTCATTTTCCATCCAAGCCTCATCACCTTTCCACCTCATCAATCCAACTTCCCCTCTCTTATATATATTGAATTGTATAAAGTAATTAAAATAAATTCCTTCCCTTTCTCATCTTGGCCGAAACCCTAGCATTTCAAAAGTCTCTTGGCCGAAAATTCAAAGCCACCAAACCCACCTTAATTGGAAAACTACCTCACTAATCCACATAAATCCAAATGTAAACCTACTAAACTATCTAACTCATCAATACCAGAAATCTAATCCCCTTTCCCACTCCAGGTGAGAGCCTAAATCACCAAATTGTTTCTAATCCAAAATTTAAATCATTAAACCTATCCAAACCCAAACTCTAGCTCTCTAAACCTACTCTAACCTAAACTTTAACCCTATAAACACTCACTAAACCAAGCCCAAATTCATTAAATTTTGCTATTCTAAATGTTAAATTACTATACACACCTTAATCTCCATGAAACTCTCCTAACCAAAATTTAAACCTAACAAGTAACTTATTAAATCACTGATGAACTCACAAAAGAAATTAATTAACTCATAAGCCAATAGTTAACCTATTAAGTAATTGATTAATCGATTAAATATTTAATAACCCCTTAGATAATTAATCATCCCATTAAACATATCAATTAACTCCTTAAATAATTGAACATATTAACCAACTTATTTATTCATTAATCAACCAATTAAATCTCTAATTAATTCTTAAATCCCTTAAATGACTAATTAATTCATTAATCACTCATTAAATAACCAATTAATCTTTTAACACCCTAAGTAATTCATTAACTAACCCATTAAACTATTAATTAACCCATGAACCCATTATTTAAACTACCACACCCTAAGCAACTAATCAAACCACTAATTAACCTAGTTAACCCATTAATCTATTAACCTAATTAATTTGTTGATTAACTCAAGAATGCATTAATCAAACCCACAAACTAATTAACTTATTAAGTAATTAATTAAAATAATTAAAACCTAAACCTTAATCAAAATATTAATAACCCACATAAAAGTTAAACTATTTAAACAACTCATTAAAGCAGAAAATAACTTAATCAAAATAATAATTAGTGAATTGAAAAATATCAAATTAAATTAATTTAAAGTCCAATTAAGTCAAAAAACCTGTAATAAGAAACTCATGAAAATACCTTAAACCAAGTTGACTATAAGACTCTAATTCACAATTTTAAATAAATTTTAACTTAATAAAACAATTAGTTAATCAAATGACTACATAAACTCACAAAATAATTAATCAAAATAATTAAATAAATGAATGATTAATATTCAACCCATTAATTAAATTAAGTAATGCAGGAAACTTTAACTAAATATTTTAAATAATTAATCACATTTTCAAACACTTAAATTGAATAATTTAAATATTTAAATGTTTAATGAAACAGATCATCAACCCATCAAGTAATTATTAATTTATTGACCAATTAAATAATAATTAACCCATCCAATGATTAATAAAGAATTAACCAATTAAATAATTAATAAATAAATAACCAATTAAAAAATTAACAAATAAAGCACCTAAGTAAATCATTAACTTAATCAATTGAATATTTAATTAAAACTTCAAGACTTTAATTAAAACAAGAAACTTTTAATTAACCCATAAAATAATTAATTCACTAATTAAATATTTAAACAAGTAACTAATTAATTAATTAATTAACCAACTAATTCACTAAACCATATGAGAACCTAACCCAAGCCTAGTCGACCGCAATTAACCTCGCCTTAGTCCAAAAGTCATAGAGGAAGAGAGGGAAACATGCTAGTTACATGAAGAAAGGAACATATAAAAGCCATATGAATCTACCTCATGCAAAATGAAACATACAAGTTATGTCAGTGCTCATGTAGGTTGATTTGTGTTTGGTTTGTAAGCTTATAAAACGTAAATTGTTGTATATGTATATGTAAAAGAAAAGGAAAAGGAAAAGGAAGAAGAAAATTTGTGATATGTGATTGTGTGATTGTATGTTTTGCATCTTGTGAAAAGGTGAGTGCATGTACTCATGCTTGAATGACGTCTTTAGTTTTAATGCAAGTTAGATGAGTTTATTTTCATGC